CGTGTCAGCCTCTCTCTTTCTCCCGCTCCCTCCTTGTCATTTTTTCAATTATTTCTCTCTCCTGTGTGTCCCCACAGACCCCAGAGGCAGAGGCTGCATCATTTAAACCGAGAGCCTGTTTAGATTCTGATTATAGCTTCCTCTCTTCTCACCATTCTCTGCCCACACACACACACGCACACACACACACACGATACTGGCTTCTTGCTGTGGAGCAATTACCTGAAGAAGTGAATTTATGAGGCCGTCATCCTTCCAAGAAAGTTACATTTATGTATATGCATCACCTACGATAGGAATGGCCTATTCCAATCCTCAAGATGTTTTCAACATGCCACCCGACTGCAGTTGATCACCCCCTGATCGAGTGGTTGCAAGAACATAGAGCAAACTTACAGTAAAAAAAAAATAATAAAAATAATAATTTTTTTCCTCAGCTCCCCTTTTTTCTAAATAAATAAGATATTTTTGATCTAAATTTGATCTTTTCTTACTTAAAAAAAATATATGAGAAACGTATTTGTACTATTCTCGGTAATTAATGAAATTATTTTTCCAAGAAGCGTTTAGCGTATTTCTTCAGGAATTTTGCTTATTTATTTTTGATGATGAGCTCCATCACATTGCCTTCACCCTAATATTTATCTTTCTCGGTAAGATTCAGGTCAGGACTCTGGGGTGGGCCGCTTCGAAACATTAATATTGCTTTGAAAGAGCTCCTTTGCGTTTGTGAAAGAACGTGGCGTCTGGTGGGCAGAAAGGCTTCAGACTGAGACCTCCTCCAGTCACCCGCTCCCTCGTACGTGTTGCATATTACAGGGATGAACCAACACCTGTTTAGTTTTTGTTCACTTTGAATCGTTGCTTCGTCTCACTCCGATTGGTCATAATTTGAGGAAATAAAAAAAAAAAAAGTAACCTGCTGCAATTTACCTGCTTTTTAATGCTAATTAGATGTTGGTGGATTAATAAACCCTACGCCCCTAAAAAGTGTTTTTTTTTTTTTTTTTTTTTCATTGTCATTCATAAAGAAACGACCCTAATCAGTATTTACTGGCAGGTGCAGAGCTCTTTGTTAATTTTCAGTGATTATGCAGACATTTTGGCCTGTTTGTCGTGTTTGCTTGCTGGTTTGATATCAGACAGCAATCCCTCTTCTCTCTCCTGAGTGGCAAAAGGCTTCCCTCCCAGCTACGATGAAAAGTCATCAAGGGAGGAGAGGAGAGAGGGATGAGACCTCATTGAAATGCAAGTTACATTCCCCCGATTTCTCTCTCTTCTCTCCTCTGGGACTTCATGCCTTTCTCTTCCTCCTCCTTCCCATCTTCCTGGGCTCTCCCCGGCTCCCTCTCCCTGCCTTTGTTAATCAGTTAAACTCCCTCTTCAAACAACCCCTCTAATTACTCCTCCGCTCTCTGTAAACGACAGGGCTGTCTCCTGCTTTCTCTTCTCCTCCCTCCTTCTCCTCGCAGCTCCCTCCATCCATGGCAGGGGTTAACCTCTGTCAGCTACTGACCCCTCTGAAGTGTGAGTCTGCCTGTGTGCATGTGTGCACTGTTCGACTGCTTGTGACTTTTTCTTGCATTGTTAATGATATAAGTGACTTTTTTACTCTTTTACTTTTTTCTGTTACTAGTGATTGGACTAAATAAGATGCAGTAAGACCAGGGGATTGTGACGTCTCACCTGTGTGTCAGCATGCGGATGCCTGTTGAGACTCTCGTCTCTATTCTGCTCTTTCTAGAAACCTTCTCGGTTATTTCTGCTTGACAGCTCAAACACTTGCCTTATCTTCCAACCATTATTTCTCAATACTTCCTCCTTCCTCGCTACGTCCTTGTCTTTCCTGTCCTATCCCTGCTCGCAACCACCTCCCTCCCCCCCACCTCGCCTCCCTCTTCCCACTAATCTACCACGCATCTCTCTCTTTTAAATTAACATGCAACATGAAAAAAAAAAAAAAAAATGGACGACAGCGGGGGGAGAAAAAATTAAATGCATTTAATAAATGGCTGACTTCAAATCACCCGGCTTTTCAGACTCTCCCTATTCACAGTCCAATGAAAGGGGAGAAATCATTCACCAGGAGAGACAAAGCCGAATGAAAATATAATTCTGCATTGTGAGGCGCTTTTGTCCTGGCCCGTCAAATCGCTAATGGCGAGGCTTTTGTTTTGCGCCGGGGCTCTGAGGCTGGCGGTGTCGTATGGCGGTGGCAACGCATGCCCCATAATCACAACGCTTTGTGATATTAGATTATAGGGGCAATTAATGGCGTCAAACCTTAACTACTCAACATTCAGCCTACCACACACACACACACACACACGAACGCACGCAGGCCCGCACATGCGGTTCCGGCATCGCAGTGTAATCCAGCACACAGAAAGGTGCTATAACTCCAGTAATTATTACGCCTGTGACTTGAAAATGTCAATGGCGGTGTGTATAAAATAGAATGTATGAGTAGTCGGTGAGGAAGAATGGGATGCACAAGAGCAATTAATTACAGCTTTTCATTTGGCAGCCTAGACTGACAAGGCCCGGCGGCGGGGGCAAGCTGGCATGACGCCAGGCGGCACCCATCACCACCCCCATCTTACTCGCTGATCTCCCCCCCCACCCCCCGACCCTCCGCTACCTCTCATCCACCCCCTCCCCACCCCATCTCCCTCGCCTATTTCCTTACCAACTGCCACGACGCCAAAGGGTCGTCTGACTCACCCCGCTTTACATCCACTTCTCAAACAGAAACTCTTGCTCTTCTGCACAATCATACAGTACAGTCGCTTGTAAACAGAGTCAGAGCCCCTCTGACTTTTGCACATTTTGTCAAGATGCCACTTCAAAGTATTTTTTTGTAATGATATATAAATATCTGCAAAGCATGTACAGCGGAAACCCGCTATCGGCGGGGTTAAAATCCACGAATACCCAAGAACTTTATGAGTGTCTAGAAACACTCATAAAGAAATATTTTCATCGTTCACACACCAAATATACCTTAGTATACATTAATATGTACAATGGAGATTGTCTTAGCAGAAGCTAATATCGACAGGCTTTCTTATTTTTGCTTTTTGGGGTACAGACAATAAGCAGCAAGAAAAATAAATGCCAATCCATGTCAAGTAGCACTGCTTTCAAGTATTCCAGCTTCCCATGGTGCATCTTCTTTCAAATATTTTAGTTATGCACCAAGAAGAATTCTGCAACTAGATGGCTTTCCATGAATAATTTGCAGTTGCATTCCACAGAAAAACCTGAAAAAATAGGTTAAACTGCAAATAATCGATTATTTGCAGTTCACTGTAATCCGTTTGTGTATAGTCATCTCTATTGTGATGTGCCTGAATAAAACTCATTATAACTCTTTGCCATTACAAGTCACAAAATAAGTAATTGGAGTTCATGTATTTGTGTAATTTCATCTCAGACAGAACTCTGGAGACCGAGACACGTTGGACTGGTCAGAAGTTTAAATCAGGTCTAAGTTCACCCTATTATCCGAAAACTGAAAAAAGTATGGCACACCTTTCTCAGTACAGGTACTGTTTACCACCAACCTGGCTAGCCACTGGTATGTTGTAATATTTCCCCATCCCTCTATCAGTGTGTGGAACAGGAAGACGGAGGAGCAGCTGGTAACAGATAGCGAGTATTTATAGCCTATCTTGTTTACGGAGTCAAACCTGTTCTTCGTAGATTTAATCTACCAGTGACAGCTCACCTCTCTCCCTGCCTCTCTCACTTTCTCCACACCATCCATTCAGGTGGTGAGGAGCCGGACAACTCTTCTGTAAAACTGTTTTTGTTTTTATCTCGCACACACATGCATACAGACAGAGATTCGCTCATTGAAAAGATTGATAACTGTTTTTTTTTTCCTTTTCAAGTATTCATCAATTAAACACGAAGCTTACCGATGTTCAGACGGTGAGAGAATCACTTTAGATCTTCAAAAATATCAGCTTTCAAATCCATCTCCGTAAATATGTTCACGCCATGTCTTTTTATCCCCCCTTATTATTTATAATTTCTTTTAACTGGTGTTGTTCCAGCAGTTATTAAATACAAAAATGCCTTGTCAGCAGAACTGCTGCTGTGGTGTTTTCTCCTCTGTTTGTGTGTGCATTTGCACTCTCTCGGTTTCAGATTTCCGCGGCAAGCCGGTCCCCAGAGTTGCAGTGTTTTGTAATCAGATTAGCATCTCTGTGCATTTTCTGTGTACAATGCAAGAGCATTAAGGAAGGTTTTCAAAACACATCTGCAAAAATGACAACTATGTACCGTCTCTCCCTCGCTTTCTGCTTCTTTAGGCCGCCTGCAGCTTTATCTGATGAGATGAACATCTCATCAGATACCCAACTTTGTTGTTCGTTCTTCCTCCCAGCCAGGCCCGGCCGTGATTGGGAGAGAATCGACGGCAGTCTGTAATCATGTGTTTATAAAAGCAGATAAGATTTTATGTTTTACTGGTAGATTGCATATCCGTCATTCCATCTCCGGCTGCTGCCACGGAAATTGACGGTTTTTAACAGTGCCAGCCATGTGCTGGAAAATGTCAACAGCACGGGTGTGTTTTAGCGCGTCTCTCTATTTGTCTTCATCTGATGCTGCCTGTTTGTTTTTTTTGTTGTTTTTTTTTTTTTTCTTCGCAGTGAGTGACAACAGAGAACAGGAGACAAACACACACACACACACACACACACACACACACACACACACACACACACACACCCTGACTTACCTGTCTGTGCCAGCCTACAGCGTAACCAGCTTGTACTGCAGGCTGTTTATTTTAACTTGAGCATTCACTTTGCGGGCACAGTCATGTTCAAGGTTTTTTTCTTTTCTTCTTTTTTTTTCTGTCGACTGGGTCTCTTCGCACAAAGCTTCATCTGTTGACTGATTAAGTTGCTCTTGTTTTACATGACAACATTAAGGTGTGTTAGGACGCTTTTAACGTGTGCCGTCTTCTTTTCCTGTTCTGTCTTCAGGTTCCCGTGTCCATGGCCATGATGAGCCCACAGATGATCACTCCTCAGCAGATGCAACAGATCCTTTCCCCCCCTCAGCTCCAGGCCCTGCTGCAGCAGCAACAGGCTCTCATGCTACAGCAGGTAAAAACTACATGCTTTCTCTTCCTTCAGTGCTTTTTGGTTTAGCTCAGATTTGGTGACACAGAAATGTGCACTATGCTGCTCATTTGTGGTTTGACCTACAGAACATTCGTAAAGATTTATTAGCTGAGAGCAGCTTTAGCAGAACCACGTCGATCATTTTCATTCCCTCTTTTTAAAATACGTATATGGGATATTTGTGATTTGTTTTTATGTTTTGAGTATTTTAATAGTTTTTGTGTTTTTTCTTGTTTTCTTTTTGTAATTGTTGCCGGTCGTCATGTCCAGGAGTCACTATGATAAACATTCAAATGTAAACACAATTTATAAATAGAGAAGTGGGTAGCACAGTAAATTCACAAGGCCAGCAGGTTCACAACTTAAGGGTTATAAGAAAGAGACGAGACAACAGGAATTAAGAATCTCTATTTCATTTGCTTCAAAGGTTTTCAAATATAGACATAGAGTGTCAAACTTAATGTTTGACACTCTATGTCATCTTTATCTTTATGTCAGGGGTTATTGCTTAAATTTTAGACTGACTTCACCAGACATGTGCGGACACTGCAGCTAAAAAGCACTGTGAAAGTCAGACTTCAATTTGACATGAAATGTCATATTTTTGTACCCAGGATCCTTCAGTGTTGGATGAGGCTAGAATTTGATTTTGGTGTTTTAAAAAATCAAATTGATGGACAAAGATGATAAAATTATGGAGAATATTTTATTAGCATACTTTACTGCCTGTTACATTGTCAAAATCTTTCATTGTTTTTTTTTTTCTTTCTTCCTTGTGTTTTTTTTATTTCTTTGCGTCCTTCCTTCCATCTTTCCTTTCTATATTATTTGTTGTCCCTTCTGTAATTTCTTGATTCTTTCCTTTCTACCTACCTTGTGTCTTTCCTCCCTTCCCTCCTCGCTTTCTTTTTTTATTCCTTTTGTCTACTTTTTCTTTCCATGCGTCCTTCCTTTTCTTCTTTCTTGTGTTTCTGTTTCTTTCTTTTTGGGTTCTTCTTTCCACTTGTCATTTCTTCTTTCCTTTCCTCCACTTGTTCTTCCTTCACTCCTTCTATATATTTCCTTACTTCCTCCTTTGCTTTGAGTTTCTGTGTTTATTCAATCTTGCCAACTGTTCATCATGAACAATAATATTTTATATTTGGAAAAGTTAAGTCTGGGATTTTCTTTTTTTTACATTTTTAAAATTAAACATTATTAAAAATCCATAAAACAAAATGTAAACCCCTTTGGGGGTTTTTTTTTTTTTTTTTGCAGATGAGGAAGATATTGATTTGAACCAATCATTAAGATTATCTTTTAGAGAATGTGCCTGCAAATATGCATGTACTTAACCTCATGTTTTGTTGCTTTTGAGCAACAAAACATGAGTCATACTGAATCAGGAGTGTGTGTCATGCTGATTCCTGGCCCCTTGATATTAGGGGTTGCCATGTCGACATTACTCAATAAACACCCTTCAGCTGTAGCAGATTAGTCAAATACTTAGCCACACCAACACATCCCTGCCAACCTGCATGAGCAAAGCGCACATGCCGGCCCGTAAAGGGTGTGAATTTGCCTCTTAACAGTTTGGAGATACAGGAGTAATTGCATGGTGTAGGGGTAGACTAGAAAACTGGAGCGTAGTCTGTAGATTTAATAGGAAGTGGTTGCTTTAGGCAACTGTAAATTGTGGTGGGAAGATCTGACAACGTGCATCACAATGGAAACGTGAAAAAAAAAGCATCGGCTTTCTGGGAACAGACATGCAGAATGACAGAGATCCTCCTCGCTGGTCCTTTTCTATTTTTTCTTTTTTTCATTTTCTGTAACAAGGAAAAAGAAGACGCAATGAAAGGGGGTTGATAATGCACTCTCACTCACTGCAACGCTAATAAAAACCATCGAGTTTAACTTTGCTCTCCCACTTAATTAACCACAGTATGGGCCACGCACTTAGTGTATATCTGCAAATCAGGCACTTTTACCCACACACACACACACACACGCACACACACACACACACACACACACACACACACATACACGCACACATATATGAACACACAGGACAAATCAACCAACACATCAGTCACTGAAGCATTAAATTTCATATCCCCATGGCAATAGTGCCCTGTGTGAGAGTGTGTAAGTAAGTTTTACAGCCCATTGCTACAAAGCAGATGTGTGTTTGCACGGGCGCTGATTTGTGGATGCGAGTTTGTGCGTTAACCTTTAAGTTTGCTCAAACCTTTACTTATGCTATGGCTGCTTTGCATTTCGTTCATTGTGTTTTTCTCTAAAGTCAAGGTCATGGTAATAGGCTGGAGAGGTGAGTGCCTCTCTTACACATACACTTAATGTACAGAGCCACTGAATCAAATCATTAAAAGACCGTAATTATCACTTAATTATTCCTTCAACTCACCACTCAGCAGCCGAGGTTGAGTGTGAGTGTGAGTGTGAGTGTGAGTGTGCGTGCGCGTGCGTGCCTGCTAGCCAGTGAGTGTGTGCGCTTGCATATGCATTTGTCTGTGTGATTAGGAGGCGATCAGGGCTAGTGACGCAGAAAAGAGAGATTAACTCTGCCTAAGGAGTGATAAAAGAGAGGAAAGACAGATGGAAAGTAAAAGAAAGAGCAGCAAGAAGGAATGACTCCTGCATTTAAAATGAATTAAGCACAAAAAAGAGAGGGGGGAAAAAAAAAGAAGAATGTCGCAGGGGTAAAGCTGTAAATTATGCAAAGGAGAAACTGGATAATGTGAAACAGCCTTGTTTTTTAAAAAAAAAAAGCGTTGCATGGTAGCGGGTATGTGTGGCATGGATGGGTAGCAGTGTGTAGTCTGCTCACCGTAAGGTCAGACAAATGAGGGACCGAAGCAACTGCTGCGCTGTGAAGTCATTCTCTGCTGAAAAGCCTCTTTGAACATTTGATGCACCATGAAACAAAGACAAACTGCAGATGGACACATGTACAAGCTGTTCCCGGGAGAACGACCTCCCCTCCTCCTGCTCTCCTCAGAACGCGCGCGCACTCACACAAACTGAGACGCAAGTCTGTGGTCAGTGAGTTTTCCCTCTCTCCTCAGCCGAAGATTGTAATCTTAATGGAGCTTCCTGGGTAAATTAATGATTACTAACCCAAACAAACAGACAAGCTGCGACCAGTCAGAGTACGCCGTCCGTGTGTGTTTGTGTTTCAGAGTGTGTATGTGCGTTAAATCCACTCATGTCATTTTTATCAGACGAAGGGACGACAGTTATGTGGAAATAAAGAATGTTGATCTACAAACTTCTTGCTGTGACAAAAGACTCACAGCTTTAAAAGAAAAAGTAGCTTTCCCGTATGTCAGGGTAAATCCGGCTGCTCTCTGAAGGCCTCTGAGGTTTGTTAGAGAAGATAAGCCAACAAACTGCATCACGAAGGACAAGGCAAAAGCCGTGGAGAGACCGAAAGTTACCAATAAATACCAGTGAGGTCTTGGTTGTAATGGGATGTGAAAAGTTTTAGCTGGTATGAGTATATTTCCAAACGACTGCTCTGTGTTCTCCCCATTTATCCTAACAAGCTTGCCAGCGTTTCTGGCCCGCTCCCTGTCTGCCGGCCTGCATTGTGCTGCAATCATCTCCTGCCATTCAGAGCTTGATCTCTGAGAATAATCTGGGGGGTGAAGCGGGTGGGGAGGACTTTGCCTTGACATGCACGATCACACTGACACACTCCAACAGCTGCACAATGTACCTCAGCAGCTTCTCCCAGGTCTGCGTTCGCTTGTTGCGCATGGTTTGTCAATAAACCACACACCGCCACAACAATACGCTGTGGCCTCAACTGAGAGCGCTGGAATTGAAAGCATCTGTGCCATTTGAGGCTCCTGTTTAGGTTACATTGTCTGACTGTGAAGGATCGTTTCAGTACTGGTGGCATTGTTGAGGCTTCTGCAGTTTGTGTTGTGACTCGCTCACCTCATATTTCTCCACCCCTCTGCCCTCTTCCTCCTTAACCCGCCTCCCCCCACCCTGCACCTGTCCATAGTTACAGGAGTACTACAAGAAGCAGCAGGAGCAGCTGCATCTCCAGCTTCTGACTCAGCAGCAGCAGCAACAGCAGCAGCAGCAGCAGCAGCAGCAGCAACAGCAGCAGCAGCAGCAGCAAGCCGGGAAGCAGGCGGCAAAAGAGGTGAACTTAGCCGCGTACATTCTCGCTCAGTTCAAGCGCACTCTGAAGTGCAGAAGTGCTCTTAAATGCAGTAAAGTGGCTGACATGTGAGAGTGCCAAGAAGAAAAAAAAAGAAAAAGAGATGACAAGAGTCTAATGTATGGAATTTAGGTCAGATACAGTATGGTGCTCGTGTTTTAATGTTATTGTGGGGCTCACACAAGTCTGAATCCCCAAGCTAACACCTCAAAGTGGAAAAGAAGTCCGCTCCACGTCCATGTGCTTCTAATTCAAAATATTAGATGCTACCTCTGGAAGAAGGGTCCAAGAAGAAGCAGTTATTTGAAAGTGCTTTTGGTTGTCAATTGATCGCCAACTAATCTACATGGCCGGCTCTCTCCCTACAACTTGCATAGAAGCTAAAGGTGACAGAGCCTTTTCAGCTACAGTACAATATCTAGCTGTTCTCTCGAAAGGTGCTACAGAAATTACATTGAAACAACGTTTATCCCGAATTTAATTACAAAAGCTTGTTGTGGATGAGAGCTTCCTGCCTAAAGTCAGGCCAGTAGGTAACTCCAACAAAAGTGACATATTAACGATGCAAAATGTTAGTCATAAATGTGTATAACTGTGGCTTGCTATTTTTTTTACCTGCAGCGTTCCCCTTTGTATCACTACAATGAACATTTTGCAAACACAGTAGTTTTGTATTAATAAAAGTGTTTAAAAAGATGTGAAAATGGCCACTGTCTACCACATAGGCCAAGGACTTGTATTCTGGTCCCATTGGATAAAAGCACCTGCTTCCATGCGTATGTCATACAATCGTCCCAAAGCTGTGGATGGGACTTTGGACTTTTACCAAGATAAATACAAATAAATACTGTGGGCGTTCCAATCACTGACCTGTCTCTAAAACCTCGGGTTGTCTAAAACATAAATACACTTAAAAGTGACCCTTTGGGGCCTCCACTTTAGAAATCATGTATAATGTCGCAGGTTTCCTACCAAAAAATTCTAGATTACAGATGCAAACAATAAAATTTAAAAAATTTAGGGCTTATTCAAGAAAAATGGCAGCAGGATCAGGGTAGAGCTCTTCAGTTGCAGAAAAAAAAAGGCGAAAAACACAATACACACAGGTGCAATATGCAAAAATACACAAGCTCTTGCAGATTGAATCAGCGCTGTGATCAATGAGGATCACATGAAGTAGAATATGGATCACGTAGACATATTTGACATAATAACTGTGGTCAGGTAAAAGACGTTTTGCCTTTATCTATATGTTCAATTCATATGTTAAGATGTCAATATTAAGAAGAAACGGTGCAGGGGAATCACTTCACGAGGAAGAGCTTGCGAGACATTTCTGTGAAATGCGCAGGGAGACACATCCTTGGATTTGTCCTCCTCCTCTCCCAGTGGGCAGAGCCCCCACCCCGCCACCTCAGCCCACATGCTCCTCGCTGACAGCGGGCAACCGACTCAGCCGTGACCAAAGCAAACCAGTTGTGGTCGACTTGCATGTTGAGCGAGTGTCTGAATTGCTTTTCCGTTCTCCCCCCTGTGCTCCTCCGCTGTCCCAGTTTTCAGGTTGCTTGTCCTGCAACAATGAGACAAGTGCAAACACTGGTCACACAGCCACACGTACACGCAGACAGAGGGGAGGCTTGATGCGTGATGGTTCACTGGCCAAACACACACACGCACACACACACACACACACACACCTGGGGGAATATGCCTCCCTCCAGAGCTGCAAGTAGCTGATGTGACCATGGCTCTCTCCAGCAGCCCTGACCTGCTGACATACAGTGCATCGATAATCAATTAATAGCTGGCATGTATAGCAATAAAACACTGTAGATGCTGTAAAAACATTTGCTTTTCATTTCTGTGGTTTTTTTTTCTTCTCTTTCAAACTTAAGTGAGTTTTGTGACTTTAAGTGACCAGAAAATAATATAAAACTACTAGAGCAAAAATATATGGAGGAAAGGAGCAAGAGGGGAAAAAAAGTTCTCCCTCCTAACTTTTGGAAGTGTTTGTACATCAGTGCCTGTGACTTTTTGCCCTTTTCGCTTTGAGCAGCAATTCCTTTTTCACGTTCAAGGCTTTGTGGAAGTGATGCATTGAAAGAAAAGCGATGTATGTGCGTGCTGAGTCGCTGTTCTGTGTGTTGCCGGAGCATTTGGGACTGGTCAGGAGTCAGCTTAATGAAGTGACTCTGACCATCACAAAAAAGATGCGTGCTTGCGTGTGTGTGTGTGTGTGTGTGTGTGCGTGTGTGTGTCTTTGGATTGGCCGCCTACAGTTGCCTGTGTGTGTGTGTGTGTGTGTGTGTGTGCGTGTACATGTATGCTTCTGTGTGACTGGCAGGCTCAGACAGTGTGTGATGTGCTCATAAATCACATTGACAGCCTGTTACTGCGCTAGCTTTGGCCACTCAGCCACAGCTAATGTAAACAGAGCACAGGCACACACACACACACTCTCTCTCTCTCAGTGTGTGTGTGTTTTAAAGAACCGTAGCCATATCTCAGGAGACAATGAGAGGCAGAGGAGGGGAGAGGAAGGGGGGTGGATAGAGAAAATGGACAGACAAGTTTGAAAGGGAGGGCCAGGGGCCTTGGAGAGAGAGAAATGTCGGAATGAAATGGATACAATCTGCTTGGACTTTCTGATCAACAGTTTATTTCAACCAAGAAGGGTCTGGTAAATCAGCTCAGAGTTATTGAATTGTCTCAGCGTGACAACGACTTTTACACATCTCGCATCTGCAAGAGGTGACTGTTTCCAACTTGCTTTATGCTACATTTAATGGGGTAACCAGCAAAAGAGCCTGGGATGTAGTTGTTTGGTCATCTGAATTTGCTTTTAAAACCAGTTCCGACTTCTAAAGCACTGATTTTGATTCGTGCTGTTCCTGGAAAATGACTTGGATTTCTGCAGGTGACAAAACAAGTCCTCGTCTGAATAAACATATACAGGGTATATTTACTAATGGTGGATTGTGTGTTTCTCAGATTCCGCTTCTGTCCTACATCTAATTACTTTAAGAATTTGAACGGCGACGCTTCCTTCTTCCTCTTGTGCTCTTTGTTTTAAATGCCGACTCAGAGGGAAAAAAAAAAAAAAACAAAACCATGACACACAGACTTAGTTAATAGAAAATGACTGTTTGATATAAATTAAAAACCCAGAGAACCATTGATCAGCTTACCTTTAAATGATAACATCAAAAGCAATAAGTTACGAAATGAAAGGATCTTGAACGAGTTTCACTGTGTTAACAAGGATTTTACAAGATTATTTTAATTCCACCTCTGCAAACAAAACCATTCGAGCTTGTGGCGAGAGGAGTCGACATGCAGGAAGCATTTCCCAGATTGGCTTTGAAACAAGCTGCAGATGTGCAACAAATCAAACTGCGCAGTTTCCTTTATGACATGAAATTATCCATGCAAAGAATATGGTGCTGCTGGTTGTCGTCCTCCCACCTCCAGCTCGCCCACAGACACACATAAACACACCTCCACCATACTTTTCCTCCCCAGGCACCAAGTCTGAGAGGAAATGACCTATTTGCCCTTCCTGAGAGTTCCTCTCTGTTCAAAGAGTTCTGGGCTGCCACTCTGTTTCACACACAATGAGAAGTTGCATTTATTTATTTTTCAGCCCCGCCAGTTATCTGTGGGAGATAAAGTACACCTCTCTCAGGGGTTTTGCTTGTGCAGGGTCAGCTTGGGAAAAAGAGGGTAAGAGGGAGGTGGGACTTGTCAGGTTTTTTTTTTTTTGTTTGTTTCCTGATGTAGAATATTATTTCCCACTTTATCGTTTACCTGCAAAAAAATGTTTGCATTGATTCTATTATTTTAAAGAAGTACTCCCAAATCACATTGTCACCTTTTCTCACATAACAACCGGAAATCTCAGCTCGTTTTATTGGGATTTTATGTTATAGACTGATGCGATGTATTGTATAACTTTAACAATGAAGAAAAACGATGAATGAAAAATATTTGCTAATCTGAAAAGTGTGGCTGACATATGTATTCAGCCCATTTTAATCTGATGCATTAACCAGTTGCAGAAGTCATCGAATTAGTAAACCAAGTTCAGTTTTGTGTTATATAAAGTCGATATATACAGGTGTGTTTTGGATTAATCCATCAGAAGGTTGTTAGAGAATATTAGTGAATACCATTAACACCAAGCAATCCCACGAAAAAAGGTCAATAAGAGTGAGGTTACAAAACAGTATCCATAGTTTCGAACATCCCATAAAGCATTGTTCTAATCAATCATTAGAAAATCTATTGATAAAAATGGCAGGTGGGCCAGGAAGAATATAACTTATAAGCAGCCAATAGAGTCGGAGTAACTCTGAAGGAGCTGCTGGTCAGAATGACCCAAAGTCCAGAACTAAATCTTATTGAAGATTTGTGGCAAGATTAGAAAATTGCTTACAATCTAATCAAGTTACAGGATGTGGATATGCACATCCGGCAGAGACAAAGTCCCAACGTCCTGCATGTACCATCGCAGCGAAAGATAGTTCCACAAAGTTTAATTTCGGGGGTGGCCTTTACACTTAAGCGAGCCAAAAACGACAAAACATGAAAAGGATGAAAGGTTATTAACGCTTTCGCCAGGCGCTGCGAGCAATTTGGAAGCACGGCCTGCCTCGCCTGACCTCCGTTTCTCCTCCATGTCGAACAGCAACTTGGCAGTAAGCAGCTGGCCTTCCAGCAGCAGCTGATCCAGATGCAGCAGCTCCAGCAGCAGCACATCCTCAACCTCCAGAGACAGGGCCTGGTTCCGCTGCAGCCCACCGCCGCCATGCAGTCTCTTCAGCAAGGTACGTGCACACACAGGCATTCCCAAACAGAACCTGAAACAGGACACATCCTGACAAACACGAGCCTAGCCAAACACACGCACAGGGCCTGTGCCCAGCGCTGCCTGTGAAGCCTGTTAAGTTAATCAGCCTATAAAAGATAAAAGAAAACATGATTGGTAGGTTTGTGGAAAGTAGTCATTTAGATAATAGGCAAAATATGCCGCTAAGCCTCCCCTGCTTAGAGATGTGTGCATGCGTGTGTTTGTACTTGAGATTATCCAGGCACAAGAAAAATCATCTTTCTGCTATTCCTGTGCCCACAGAATTTTTTTTTCCTACGTGTAACTTCTCCCACAGTTCCTTTAGCTTCTCAGCAGAGTTTCAGAGCGATAAATGTTGACTGCTGCTGGCCCGCCCTCAGCGAACATGTGTGTGTGTGTTTGCCCACTATTGTGTACGCACTTGCGTGGCAATGTTTCACACATACTTTTGAGCACTATCTCACTCGCAGAGAATGCCTTAGGGGCTCTAAAGTGGCCGTAACATTGCTAAAGCGCTGACTGAGTTGACCAAACAGACCCATTTCCTTCCCTCTGTTTTTGATCTTTCACTTTTTCCCCCCTCATGCAGACTAGCATGGAGTCACTCACAGCAACACGCGCACACACACGCATACGTAACAAGGTTAAACTCTACTAAATTTTCAAAGGTTCGGAAACGTTGATTTCCAATCCAAAGGTCTCCCGGAGGGCAAGTGGATTTATTCATAGTGGAGGGGGCAGAAAAAAAAAAAAAAAACCTGACTAGGTGGATAAGACTTTGAGGACACAGTTGTGTTAGCAGAGAACAATTTTTCAGACAGTTGCAAACATTTGGCCTCGGCGTCTCCTTCTCTTTCTTTGCTCTCCCTCTCTGCATAAGACTGGAATTTCCCTGCAGTGTGAAAGAGCTGGTCCATTGTGACAGCTCAGCCAGGCGTGAGCCAGAGCATTCCTCTGACCAGCCATGCCACACAAACACGCAAACACTCACGGATAAACACACACATACGCACACACAAGCACACACACTGCCGCCCTGCCTCAAAAAGCTGTTGTGTTCTGTGAATAGGTCGTACGGGGTCCCATGAGGGGGTCCAACTAAGGCCTGTGTTTACTTCTATGACTTTGCGAGTTAGACGTTAGATCACTACTAAACTTATAAAAATAATTGGAAACAATGAGTTTATGTTCAAGAATTCAGACGTTTTAGTTGCAGATTCTAGTTATGTGGGGGAGGGGGGGCAGAGAGAGTCTTGCTTTGTATCTTTTCTGAGAATCAATAGAGCCTGTCAGTTCTCTCTGTGTTTCTATTTAAACGAGATCCTGTGAAAAGCATCCAAGAGTTGAACTTTATACAGTTTAAGTCCATGTAACTTTTCTTTACAGGTTACAGTTTTGGAAATAGTTTCTTGTTGGACATAGTTCCTGTCCAACAAGGATGACATATGAACAATTCACACATACGTTTGAGCATAATTAGGGCATGACTCCAGTTGTTCTGCGAAAGCATCAGAGGTTTTGTTAGAGAACAGTAAAGAATAAGTGACATCATGAAGACAAAGGGACACAGCGGAGCGCTCAGGAAGGAAGTCGTGTAGAAGTTTAATCTAGGTTTAGGATTAAAACGTAGTCACAATATTCGGAGATCAACGTTATTTAGTCCGTCATCTGTAAAATGGATCTAGGATGGCAGACCGACAAACCTACCAAAACGCGACTGTTTACCTAAACTGACAGGTTTAGTTGGACTTCCGTCTGCTTTTCACAGATGCAGTCAAGAGAGTGACAGTAACTCTGGAGTTACTGAGGAGTTTTCTCTGCTTTTCTTCCACAGTGACAGAGAAACTATTTAGGGCAGATGAGACGATGTAGCTAAGAACAGGGCAGTCCTGATGGAAAACACAGCCGACGCTGCGGGGGCAACACAGACAGCAATGGGATGGTTTAGATCAAGGCAAATTTATGTGTGAAAATGGCCCAGTCAAAGTCCAACTGAGAATTGAAAATAGATTTCCACAGATGGATTTTCGTCCAGTCAGAGTGAGCAGGAGCTATTTTCAGAGAACTGGTTAAGAAATATCCCTTTCTAGATGAATTTGGAAGACATCCCTAAAAACACTGTACTTGCAGCATATGAATGTGAACGGGTGACGCACATTTCAGGTTTTTATTTGTAGAAAGTTGCGAAACGTTTCCTGCCCTTTCATTACCGTGCGTTACTTTGAATTGGTCTGTCACATAAAATCCCAGTCAAACCTAAAAGTAAAAGTACTTTAGGAATTTGCGGTTGTAATTTGATAAAAAGTTCAAAGGGTATGGATACTTTTGCAAGCCCCCTCCTATGGGTTAGCAGGAATACTCCCATCTTTTCAAATTTGGTCCCGTCAGTTATTGTTGGAGAAAGTTATGATTTTTTGATTGCAAATCTATCCTCACATGCGTTGTTTATTTTACACTTGGCACTAGACTACCTTCCATCTGTTTTCTCCAAACGGGCATATTTATTTTTAATTGAACATACTCCCGTGGTTCAGGCTTCCTAACATAACAATCTTGAACCACTTTACACTTTCACTCTCTGATCGTCTCCACAGATTGGTTTGGTTTCTTCCCGGTTAATTCCTGCACACACACGCGTACACGCACGTGTGCGTGCAAATACACACACACACACACACACACACACACAAAAATCTGTCTGCGCACTTACACCACTTCATTTTTCCAGAGTGAGAAGTTTTGTTTTGGCGGAGGCCAGAGAAGAATGCAGACAAAGCAGACATAATATTTGGATTGCTGCGAGGTCCTTGAATGTGTATGTGCAGATGTGTATTATATGTGAGTAAGTGCATGCTAAAATACGCTGGAGAAGGCTGTGGCATTTTCAGCTGTCTCTCCTTCACTGTCAAATTGGACCAGAAATAATAATGCTGCAAGCAGAAGGAGCTCTGTGTGGGCACCTGTTTTTTTTTTTTTTTTTTTTTTTTTTGCACAAACAGTGGCGCTGATGAACTCCTTATGGGAAACTCCCACCTTCACTCTGTACTTCTCACATTGGTAAAACTGCGTCTCTGAATGAGTCAGGAAAGAAGAGCCATTAGTTTGTGACAGGAACAATGGAGACCACTTACTTGTGCCCAACAGGACATTTAAATCAACCTCTCTAGACTGTGTTATTTTTCAGCTTCTTCAGTAGAATGGGGGACTTTGTGGTTCTGGGATAATCAGCTGCAGCTACACAATCGGTGACACTAGTTTATTTACAATCCCTCTGCGTGAGTCTGATTATCTTTCAGCTGCTCTGGCATTAACTTCACCACGTCCATTGTCATATTCGCTTGTAAAATCAATTGGTAAGTTAGATTTGACCATTTGCTGAGCTGACTGTGTGACCCCCCCTTTTTTTTTTTTACAGCAATGTGTCCGTCAGACCTCCAGCAACTGTGGAAGGAGGTGTCTGGAGTGCCGAGCGCTGAGGACGCCCTTAAACAGGCCGAGGGCCTGGACTTGAGCACTAACAGTTCTAATTCTACCTCAGCCTTCCCCAAAGCTGCCAGTGCTCACATTCCACTGCACAGCCTGCCCAACGGACAAAACCACACCCCAAAGAGAGACAGGTAAGGAGAGCTCGAGATGGTTTCTTCAATAAAGCACGCTTTCATTGTTTGTCTTTGCTACGCGCTTCAACTTTTTCTCTATTTTTCATTCAAACTATCCTACTTTCTCTTTTGCGGGTATTTTACTTGCAGCTAAGCTTTCATAACTACATGAGTATCACATATATACATACATACACACATATATATATATATATATATATATATATATATATATATATATATATATATATATATATATATATATATATATATATATATATATATATATATGTTGGATTCAGTGCGCTCTGACAATGATGCCATTAAGAAGAGTATGTTGCCCGATTCTTCTGGAGAGGTTTATGAAGCTGGTTTAGTCCAGCAGACAATGTTGTCAGGGCGATATTAGAGATGCATGCGCCAGGTGTCTTTGTATCACACGCACTGCGTGGCTGTGTTGGCCACTCACGGGCTTGTCTTCATCTTTAAGAGCCCGACTGTTTGAGTGGATATCCTCCTTCACCAAGGCAGACAGCGGAGATGACCACGTTCCCCTTTACTCCAAAGGCAGCCAGCCTCCCAGCAGCCAGTGAGTAGCCATCAAATACACACACACACACACACACACACACACATGCATACGCAGAGCGCGTAGCCCTAGAATAGAAAGACCTGAAGGGTTAACTTTAGCACACCGGTTTAAGAGGAAACATTGGCCCTCATGTTTAGAAAGAAAATATGGCCATTTAAGGCTTAGACTTGAGACTTGACCTAGACTTGGAGGTTGGGAGTTGATTTTCATGAATAATTTTTAGCTCATGAAATCTGGAATGAAGACAAACCTGCAAATCACAGGTTGTAAATCTGTGAGAGCAGCTCTAACGGGTGCATATTAGCTTGTGAAATTGACTGTTTGATTTATTATTATTAGTAGTAATAGTATTGTTAATATTATTAGCAATTGTTTTACTAATAATATTAATAATAAATACTCAGAAAGAGGACAAGAAGAGCTCCAAACCCCAACTAGTGCACTATGTACAGTAGGATAGCGATCAATACTAAGAAGTTGACAATTTTGACTTGGAGAAATGATTTGGACATTTTGTGAAAGACCTGAAACTTAACTTAGACCTTCCTCTTAAAGACTTGAGATCTCACTCCAACCACCCTGTTAAAGCCTCGGCATTAGATTTAGACTCGCATCCCACAGAGTCGAGATCTGACTTGGAACTCACTCTCTGAGACGTCAGGCTTGGCTTGGACTTACCCATCAGCCGTTTGAGAGTTGATGGGAACCTGCCTCTGGAAGGATAAAAATGGATTTCCCCCTCAGAAGTTTGAGACTCTATTGGGACTGTCCTCTCAAAAAATGTAACTGGACTCCAACATTTTCCCTTATTGAACTGAAAGACTGGACTTGGACTTGTGAACATCTCTGTCTGGAAGTGAGGTCAGAGTTGAAGAACAAGCATGATGTAGCTGAGCAGTGTTGTACTGCAGCTGCGGTGAGGCAGAATCACAAAGAGGGTAGCACTGCTGTGCTAGCTAATGTACGGTTGATGTGGAGGACAATGTGGTTAGCAGCAGTTTGTCACGTCTGCTGTCTGAGCTGCTTCTGAGCTGACTCAAGCACAGCCAGCGCAGAGACACTCTCCCACAAACACACTGCCGTTGCTCTCCAGACTGCACATCTGATCGGGAAGAGGGAGAAAGTGAGGCCGGGAGACATGTTTCCATCTGCGAGACAAATGGTTTTTGTTAGACATCCTTCTGATGTTGATTTGGGAGAATCCCCATCCCAGTCATCATACACACCTACTCATTTGCACAAAGCACACACGTATACACACGCGCACACACATACACACTTCCAAAGTCATGTAAATAAATGTGGAGACAGCCGTCGGAGGCACTGCTCCAGGTCTGAACCACATCTGCTACCGGACCTGCCGCGCACACATGCACAAACACACAGTTATTGCATTTGTCCAAACCAAACCTGGCCTGGTCTTTCATCGTCGCACTCGCTTGGAAGCACACACACACGCGCGCACACATGTGCTCATAAAGTTTAACACGCACACGCGCGCACACACACACAGACTCACCACAAAAGAGCAACCAGCAAATGACAGCAACCACCACCAATCAGTCATGGCTGGTTGGTCCTGTGCCGGCTCCGTGTCAGCTCCTGAAACAGTAGAAGACACACCAACACTAATATACAAACACGTGCAAAACACACACCAAAGGCAGGGGGATAGGTCATGGACTTCAGAATGCGCCTCTGAGGTTGTTGGACCAATTCCTTTATTTTATGCCTGGCTTCTGTAACTAACCCCCACTTCGGTCTGTCCTCCTTCCCTTGCTCTTGGCTCGAAGATCTGCACCAACTAATCACAGCTAACCGCACTCAGATGGCTGCACCAATGCACGCTGCTGTTGCGTTCACATATTGCATGCATGTGTTTAATAAAGTGACTAAAAATAATGTTTCGATATGTCTTATACAATTGTGTCTGACCTCAATTGGTGTGTGGAGATTATGCACGAGATGCAACATCTGTTGCTGACGTCTCGTTTCATGTGTTTGTCTGCAGTCATGAGGAGCTCAGCAGCTCCCACCCCCTCTACGGTCATGGAGAGTGTAAGTGGCCAGGCTGTGAAGCACTGTGTGAGGACATGGGACAGTTCATCAAGTGAGTCACAAGAATATAACTTGCATGACCATCCATCCATCTATCCTGTGATTTTTTTTTATTTTTTTAAATTTTTTTGCAAAGCTCATATTTAAGGCCTGACCATGTCTCACGTAACTTAATTGTAAGCTTTTTGTATAAATACCTAAAAGTGACTGGAAAATGTGGAAACTCAATTCTGAAAAGAAATTATGACATTATGACATTGCAGATTAGTAGGATTTTTTTTTATCATTATTATTGAATGAGATTGCTGCTGTTTTCCTATTTCTAAAAAATATATTAACTATGATAACAAAGATCACAAATCAATTTATATTAATTTTCACCTAAAGGTTATCAAAACAGTAATGTATTTCCTGTTGGGAAAAAAATCTAACTATTTTAATCATTTATCTATGAGGGATGGGCAATATGCTATGGTATTTCTTGCAATAATAATAAAAGTGATGACATTTAAAAAAAAAATCCACTGCACTCTCTTATTTGGTAAAGATTGTAGATTGCACTCTGAACCTTTTTTTTTAATGGATTACTTTAGACCTCAGGTTATATGAAGTACAACTGCATTGCTAAACAAGACACAATAATTGCATTTGATAATATTTTCTTAAAGTTATTAACATTTATTACTGCTCTCATAAAACCAACAGCGGAACAGAAAAGTACAAATTGTTGTTACTGACAGCAGTGGTAGCATATGAAATTTACAAAAATTACCATGCAGAGCTGTTACCATTAACTGTAATTTTTCATAAATTAAAAAAAAAAACATAATGGTAAACAGTATGATAATTGTGCCTCTATGTTATCTGCTATGCTTGTAGACCATAGCAATATTACCAAGAATATCAACCTGAAATTAATCATAATAGATGTTACTGTCTGGGGACTTTGTAAAAAATAAATAAATAAATAGGTCATACAGCTTAGTTTTCAAATAAAAAAAAATTACAATTTGAAGCTCTCACATAAAAAAAAATGATTTGGAATCTTACATCCTGGTTTAATTTACAAAATAGGTTTAAAAAGTAAGACGAAGAGTTAAATTGAATTCGGTTTCGGGACTATATGCAATTTATTTTCAAATGCATACGACTTTTTAATTTTAATTTTGTTGATTTTTGACTAAAGTCCTTTCGGCGCGAATCACAAAAGTTCACACTTGCCGTTTGTAAAGCTGGCAGTAACTTCAGTTCTTTCCTGGTAGCCAAAATCTGTGTTTAAGTTAAAACTTCACCCTAGTAAATGGTGCACGTCAGTCATAGAAATCTCTGTGGAGTTCTGCATTTTCCTGATTTTCTTTTGCTCATCTTTTTCAATCTGTTGCATCACATTTGCTCTGAGGCACGTACATGTATCCACACACACACACACACACACACACACACACACACACACACACACCCACTCACACACGCACACAGACAGGCACAAACACAACGGTACACGACGTTGCTTGTCATGTGTATAGGTTCTTTGTTTTCTAAAGATTTTTTGAGTATTTTCAACAGACTGCCATATTCATTTATTTATTTATTTTAGCTGTGTTTTTAAACACATTTTCCAAAGATGGAATCTTTCTGTTTTTTTCTCATCCGCCATGTCATTTTCACATTTGGAGATATATTGCACCTCCTCCTCCTCCTCCTCCTCCTCTCCTCCTCGTTGGTGCACTGGACTTCCCCCCTTGGCACAGAGGCTTCTAACGAAAGGCCTAACAAGCCCCTTAATGAAGCCCTACACAAACTTACACTCATTACCAACTTGGGGTTTGTAGTTGTTTGAACAGTGAAAATATTAATAAGCAAGAGTGATGAAATGAGTATTCATACACACAATCACAGGGGTGTGCGGGGTGACGCCAATGGCATTGGACAGTCGGATCAAAGCTTGCTTGCAGGCTGGGAAAGTTTGGAGAGGAAAGCTGTTGTTTGGTGTCTCATTTCACGTAGCCCGGGGGCAGATGGAAGGAGAGCAGTCGCTAAAGTGAAAGAGCATGCATGTGTGTGTGTGTGTAAGAAGAGAGATGGAAGAAAAAAAAAGAAAAACCAGAGGCAGCGACAGATAATGCCGTCAGTCCAACAGCTCCCTCCCTCCCAGCAAGCCTTAGTCATCGCCCCAGGAGGCGAAAAGGGTAGAGCGGAAGAACAGAGGAGGGAGACGCTCCACTGTTTCGGGTCTTTCTTCTCTTCTATTCTCTTTTCTCTGCCCACCATCCTCCTACTCCTCCTCCTCCTCCTCCTCTTCCCTGTCCTCTGGTATAATACTCTGGCTGTGGTCGCCAAAGCTGGGTGTAATGTGGGTTAAAGGCTTGTCTGCCAGCACTCAGAGGAGTAAACAGAGCCTCTTTGTCGGGACAAACTTAAAAAAAAAAAAAAAAAAAAAAAAAAAAAAAAAATGCACCTGTTT